TTATACACAATTACAAAATTCTTTCATTATTGTATCTGTAATATTTTTTCATAAATTGAATTAAAATTTTGCGATTGAACTTCAAAATGTACTAATTTTTTTAATAGCCTCCGAAACGTAAGATTTTCGATAAATGATTAAATTCACAGTGAACTCAGTCGAAAGTTCATACTGATCACCTCCGAGGTTAGCATAAGAAAGTTTCATAATGAAGAGGAAAAAGAGAACACCGGATTCCGAGGAATCGGTCAGAACAAGAAAGCAGTTAGACGAAGATTCGTGGCGGGAACCGTTGGAGGCGATCGCGATCAACGACGACGAGTGGTGGTGCATCGTGACCATGATGGTCGAGACGATACCTGACCACTCGAGGTGTGTGTCGATTTTCAACGAGGCGGCCGACGTGGGCAAACGGAAAGCCATCCACTGTCTCAGCTACCAGAAGATGCTGTCCACTATAAGGGCGTTGTCGAAGCAGAATTTCGACAAGTATCCGGCGATCCAGGGAGTTTGTCATTACGCAAGCAAGATTTTGGACGACGGCGAGATCGAGGCGTTGCCAAGCTGGCTGATGGCGCGGATAATCAAGTACTTAATATACCGAGCCCGGGAGGAAAGTATCGGCCGAGTGAAAAGATTGGCTGACCTCGAGCGGGAAATAGATGAGGAGTATTGGATTATGCAGACGGTCGCTGACTGGGGTATGCGAACTGATGAACGTATCGATTTTACCGCGTTCAGTATCATGCCGTTGCTAATATTCATGGGCGGTAATTAGGACTGTTCGGAGCTGGCGTCGTTTGAAATTAATTATGGTAATAAAGGTATAGATGCGGGGATATATGGTAATAGTATAGGACATCCATTTTTCCTAGCACGTAAAAACTAGAACTGATTAAAACAGTAGGCAAATGAGTTCAAGGAATTCCATGCATGTACATGAGTCATACGTGCCTCATGAAAAAATTTAATAAATCGTATAAACTTTCTCATTTTCCACTATTACAAGAAAAATAATCATTTTATCTACGACGTTATGTCATCGCTTCGGTCTTTTAAAATCCAGTTTTCCACATGATTACATTCTTAAAATCACTATTCTTAGCTCACCTAAAGGAGTTCACTTCTTTTCTAATTTATCTTCTCGTCACCAAACTAGACCTCATGAAAAACTGGAAGTGCTTCCTCACTTAAAAAATGATGAAAGGAACGGTTGATCTAATCAACGTCTCTCCGGCAGGGCAGCCGGGATCGAAGAAGTTCGACGCGAGTACACTTAATAACAAAGCAAACACGAGATTACGAAAAAGCGGCGAGGAATGGCGGGACGTCGTTTACGTAGACGACGCTCCGCTGAACGGGCCGAATCTGTACATAATTCTGACGGGTTTCCACGACCCGGACCTACCGACGGACTTAAGAAACGTCGGCGTACCGTTGCACTGCATAATGCAGATCAAGAGGCCGTCGGAGAAATTGGACCGCCTCGTACGTTGTTCCATCATCGAGGAAGTGGAGTCCAGGAAATTATACTTCCTGGAGGAGTACAGCGTCGGTAAAATCAAGCTGTTTAACTTTTGGTCGAAAGTGGAGAAACGATTGACGGAGCCCGAGGAGTATCCCGAATACAGCGATATTGGATTTCTCGTATTCTGTCCACCACAGCTGCCAGACACTCCGTGCGACGACGAATATGCCGCGCTGAAGAAGGATTTGTACGACAGGGTGTCGTATATTGTGTATGATTTTTATGATCTTTATCGACAGCACGGCAACTATTTGAAGAGCATGAAAGTGGAGAAGAGTATCGTCGCCGAAAACGCATCGACGCCGAATATGGATATCTATGATATCTTTTTGAACGCGTTCCCTCTGGAGTGCATTTCAGTGCCGATAATATTGTTTGCGATATTGTCACAAGTTGAGGCGAATGAGAGAATGACAGCGGAAAATTCCATGGATGAGAAAGGCGATGTCAGTGCGAGTCTTAAGGTAAGATCTTCGACAATAATAGTAAAGAGATTAAAAAACATAGTTTATAATCCTGTGCAGAGCGAGATCGAGATACCAGTAGAAATGGAAGAAACCAAAGAGACACCGGTATCGTTAATTGAACAAAAAGTGAAGACACTTGACATCAAATTTGATCTGGATAGCGAAGGATTCGATATGGACAATGTCGGGAAGTGCATAAAAGACATCGAGTTAGTTTTATACGGAGACATTCTGAACAGAGCAGTTCACGTGCTCGATAACTGCGCGATTAGTCAAGCGTTGAAACCGAAGGACTTGATGGAGCTCATTTTAACCATCTATCGACACCCGATCACTGCGATTATTCGCAAAGAGAACCAAATTCCGGAGAAAAGACTGAATCAATACACTCGTCATCTTAACAGAATTCGACATTATTTCGATGCCAAATTGAGCGACGAAGAAATCAGGCATTATTTGCACATGTTGGTATTCGATGGAATGATCTTCAAATCATCTGTACCTAACAGAAGTGACACCTCTCGAACGACGTTAACGGAGAAACCGGAAGACATCGAGTTCAGCGGAGAACAGTATTCAATGAGACGTTGCAAGTCGTTACCGAGTCTGAGTTCAAAATCGCAGCCGGACGTGCATTTTCTCAGTGATGGGAACATCGATTACGGTTTGATAATCCCGGAGATCATCAGCTGCTCCGCCCTGTTCGATCTCATAGATCCCCGGGAATTATTAGTGCCGGGTTACTTGGAGAAGAACGTCTTCGGGAACCGAACCACGAGCAAGCTTCGGCTGGAAGATTTCAGCGACGCGGAGCTATTATCGAGGCCAATTTTTCTGCAGCTACTGCACGAGTGTCTTCTCGCGTTCGATCGCGTCGAGCTCCGATATTTCGAACCCACCGACTCTCTGTTGCTGTACTTCAGTAACAAGTGGAGAATCAATGGGGTGAACGAGGAGGAAAGAATGTCTAGCATTCGGACGCCGGTTCAGCTTCGTGATTTCTGCAAATACGTGGTGCCTGAGGAAGAAGATTGGCTGCGACGGGAGGAGGAATTGTACAGATTGCAGACGGCCGAGTGGATGGAAAGATTGATGAGGCAGAGCTCGGAGATATACGAAGAAACGATGGTGTTCCGCGACGAAGACTTCATTCTGCCTGGGACACTGAAGGCCAAAGATCTGGAAAAGAGCAGGGAACTCGACGAGCAAAAAGCTAAACTGGATGTCGGTAAAAAGCCAATTTAATCTCGGCATTGTTCCTTCAATTCTTCTCTCATCCAAAATTGAAATTAATCCATTGTCCTTTCGGTAACTCGTTATAGTCCTGTTCAAATATCCTCGAATTTACCATTTTAAATAGACTTTACTAATATAACGCATTTATCTATTTATTTATTAATTTACAAAACTGAAAGCCATATCTCTTCTTTTGCACAGTAGAAGGGTCAATCGAGACTTCAGTTAATGGAGATGCAAAGAACAAAAGAAAAGTGAAAGAGAAGGGGATTAAAACTCCTAAGAAGAACAGAAGAGGTAACAAACTCGGCAATGAAAAGGCTAGTTCAACAAGATCAAGTTTAGAAGAAATGGGGCCAGTGACAACGAAGAGAAGATCGATAGTTTCCGAGATCGAAAAGGAACCGGTTTATGATTTTATTGGCTATGACATCGGGACGTTGCGTGTTCAAGTAACGCACCGTAAAAAGACATTCTTCTCGGCCGACAATACTCTGGTCCAAGTGGAGATGGACTATTGGCTGTACAACAGCAAAGATTTACGCATTACCGTCTCTCTACGTGGCTACACTTTAAGATTGTTCCACCGAGTCGACAAACCCCAGGCGAATAAAACGTTTCATTTAACTAGCAGAACGGGGATTATTCTGGCTTTTCAGAAACTGGTAACAACTTCGCGTAAGAGCTTTGAATGTTGCATAAACATTTCATCTCTACTTTTTAATCCCATTCCCCTTCTGTCACCCATTACTCCATTTGGTCAAATCGGCAATGCAATTGCAACATTCCAAATTGGGTAAGATGTTATAAGTAGACTGCGGATTTTTATATAAAAAACACATTTATAGTATTAGTATAAATAATGTGCTTGAAATAACAGTTTCTATTATAATTTCAATTTTCAATTCTGCTTCTGATATTTTCTATATTTTTACACAATTATATTTATATTCTTTTCATGTTTAAGTGTCTTATAAGTGCACAAAATTCACAGTGTAGTTATAACTCTTGAGGATTACAATACTGTAATGTTACTAACAAATAGGATGACAAATAAATAATAAATAGGTACACCGAAGATTCCTTACCAGGATTGGCAAGAAATGAATATCGAGCTCAGAACTTCGTGGCCGACCGGGTTAATAATAGAATCGGTTCTTGGTGATGGACCGCAGAACCCCTATTACATTCAACAGTCATACACACCGAAGGGGTGCGATGATACCGATGGTAATCACGAAGTCTGCAGAAAGTTTCTCAGGAATGGAACCCTGCTAAAATACTTGGACGATGGCAGAATAATCGTGTTCCGTCCTAACGGGGTAATCGTAACGTGCACAGAATTTAAAACGACTCAACCGAAGCAACGCGAAAATTCAGGTAATTGCTATTATTAAAATTTATGTTATTGTGTTAAAAGATTATTTATTTCCTTTTCGATATCAGACTACTACACCTAATAATAATTGTTCACTGAATCAATCAGCAATTTTATGATTTCAAATAAGAAATATGGAAGATGTGTTAGAGAATTATTATATTTTTAGGGGTATTCGATTTAGGTTGAGAATTTTTTTCGGGTTCGAGCGCTCCCGAAAGTTTGTCAAATACATTTTATTCGGGTACCCAGTTAATATTCTATTATTACAGGAGATAAAGTGAGAGAATCGAAGCATTTACCAAGAAATAAAAAGAGGTGGACGAGTAATTTGAAGTCAGAATTACATAAAGGAGCTTACGGAGACCATGGAGAGCGGCAACCGACGACGGTGATTCAAACGTTAAACTTTTAACGCAAACACCAGCGATCCAATAAAATAAACTTAGTTCTCGAGAAACATATAATATATGTTTATTATTATTTTTAGATTTTTTCTCATAAGATCATTTTTTATAAAACTGACATAACTGGTGCTAACCCTTACTTGAAACTTTGTTGTTCCGGAGTGTCTTCATCCTCATTGATTCGATGGTGACTTCTCCCCAGAATCGCGACGAGGACGACGACGTCTCGTCACTGGCGGACGGCACAGTCAGAGTGTCACGGTACACGGTCGTGAATCACGACGGCGGACGATACGAGGTGCTCGACGACTTGATCGTAAGTGAACAGCATCGATTACTCGTGAGGATGGCGTCAGACTACGAGGTCAACGAGAAATTCACGCGCCGCGCTGACGGTACCAACATGTTGCTGAATTCCAACGGCGAATTGATTGTCAGATTCCCAGGTTGGTTTCATCGTGTTCTCGCCACTTTACTAAAACGAATTCCAACCTTTGCGAGCACCATTGTACGATGAGATTTACCGATCCGCAAATTAAAATGTCTGTTTTGATGAATTGAATCGAAAAGAAGATTTTCACATTTAACATTTCACTTAGACGGAGGAAAAATTTTTTTCAGTCAGAAAAGTTGGCTACTCTCAATTTTATTTTAATATGACATGTCTGCGTTAAGTGCTTTTAAATTTATTACTTCGCCAAGTTCTCGAAAAGACATTTACCTCAAATCGAAAGGAAGAATAAATATTCGAAACTAACAGAACTAGCATTAGCGTCTTTATTTTTTACAAGATTAATGTAGAACCTTTTTCCCATCATTTTCCGAAGTTCAATATCAAGCAAGGAAAAATTCCAATTATGTAGTATGCTCTGATCTGTATAGTTAAAAAACAGACTCATTGAAACCAGGATAATAATAAATATTACTTATAACAGTAAATCGAAACGTTTTAAAGTAATGAGTTCAGTTTTGATGAGTCTTCTGATAAGTACGTGAAACTTGCAAAAGTTATAAAGTGCACTATTGAGTTTGTATCAAGAGTATTGATCGAAATGAACTAATCTCTAAATGGCTCATGTTGATTTATTATAAATGTTCGTGAAAATGCTAACAGTTTACACAAAATTTTCAAATATTAGAAAATCTACTTTTCCTTTTAGTTAACCATAAATTCCTTTACACTTACGTACACAAGGTAAGGAATCTCGCCACTTTACTAAAACGAATTCCAACCTTTGCGAGCACCATTGTACGATGAGATTTACCGATCCGCAAATTAAAATGTCTGTTTTGATGAATTGAATCGAAAAGAAGATTTTCACATTTAACATTTCACTTAGACGGAGGAAAAATTTTTTTCAGTCAGAAAAGTTGGCTACTCTCAATTTTATTTTAATATGACATGTCTGCGTTAAGTGCTTTTAAATTTATTACTTCGCCAAGTTCTCGAAAAGACATTTACCTCAAATCGAAAGGAAGAATAAATATTCGAAACTAACAGAACTAGCATTAGCGTCTTTATTTTTTACAAGATAAGTAGTTATGTAGAACCTTTTTCCCCTCATTTTCCGAAGTTCAATATCAAGCAAGGAAATATTCCAATTATGTAGTACGCTCTGAGCTGTATAGTTAAAAAACAGATTCATTGAAACCAGGATAATAATAAATATTACTTATAACAGTAAATCGAAACGTTTTAAAGTAATGAGTTCAGTTTTGATGAGTCTTCTGATAAGTACGTGAAACTTGCAAAAGTTATAAAGTGCACTATTGAGTTTGTATCAAGAGTATTGATCGAAATGAACTAATCTCTAAATGGCTCATGTTGATTTATTATAAATGTTCGTGAAAATGCTAACAGTTTACACAAAATTTTCAAATATTAGAAAATCTACTTTTCCTTTTAGTTAACCATAAATTCCTTTACACTTACGTACACAAGGTAAGGAATATAATATACAGATATAAATAAAAACACATCTTACACTTAGAAAAGTCAGTATTCATAAACTGTGGCACCACAACAGGAAACACTCTAGAAACAACAGGTAGTACCACGACATGTTGTAACGGTTTGAAAAGTTTTACAACGAGACTTGTAAGGTTTAAGTAACCAGGAACATCTGTGTAATTCAAAGATTCACGGTTACGTACCGTTTAGACGGTACGCGTATTACAACCGGCTACAGGATAGAAGAAGAACCAGTGATGTGCGATTGGACCGAAGAAGAAATTCTGAGATATTTCACGACGGACGGTACAAAGGAGTACGAGGAACAGTGCATCGAGTCATCGTCGGCGAATCTAAGATACAACGAGGAGGCGTCCTCTTCGAGGCGTAACACCGAATACGAGGAGAAACTAAACGAGTTATTGATCGCCGAGAGTTTCGTCTCGGTACTGTTGACGTGTCGCATGGAACACAAGAACTACACCACGGTGTCGTACGATCAGTCAGCAGTTAACTGTACTCTATCGATGCCCGACGATCTCCGAGTCAGCATATCGGGGAGAGATCATTACGAAGTTTCGATGGCCGATGGAGTTAATCTGAAGGTAACGGAGAACCGCGAGGATTAGATTTGTTCAAAAACGGATATCGTTCGATGCCGTGGGATATACGCAGTCCACTTTGATCGGATTGAAGTGCAGTTAAAGTAGTAGTTTCTCGGATCTTGTAAGAGATAGCCAGATAAAAGAATTGCGTAATGTTTCATACTTTTATCTGTAATTTTCGTAAACTTACAGCAGTTTCATTAAATAAGAAAGGGATTAGCAAGTTCATCTTGTAATTAATTACGCTATCAGCTTTTATATAGAATATGAATTCCTGATGAAGTCGGTATTTCCTCATCAGATTGACAAAGACGGTCTATTATTCAAAGGAAACGCGTGCGCTCTTTGCGGAAGCCAATCAACGTCCATATATAATTTTCACCCTTTCGATCGATCAGCCGTTATATTTACTACCGTCGACGTGTTTGGGAATACATTCGAGGTCCAAAATAACGGTTCAACGTGCTATTATCCAAACAGTGAAGAGAAATTAAATACGGATACTGACGGATTGAATGAACGAGGGGAATATTGCGAGGAGGAGTTTTTCCAGCCTGTGTGCAGCCATGGAAGGCTTAATTTCAAGAGCAGCGGAATTCATTACAGAATATTTTCGTTGAATCAGGATTTAACGGCTTATGAGTACATTCATCGATGTGCGAGGAACCAGACAGAGTTGATGGCGCTCTGTGATAAGAAAACGAGCATGTTCTTATATCCGAGTCCACATCGTCCGGAAGTTCGTCGTCTGATCACGTGCGAGCCAATGGGAGCTGAATCACGATTAAGGGACGCGCTATCGTTCCCAGTTAGTTAATCGAACCAATCATTTTGTCATTATTTGCTTGACCAATTTTCTTGCTACTATGTATTTCCAAATACAAATTATATTATCAAAAATTTGTGCCCACTCTAAGGCCAATATTTCTTATGTCAAATACCAATTGTATCATTACACTTTTCTCTAAATGAATTAGTCTTAAACCGGTGTGTAGTCTGTTTCTCATGTATCAATCATATCGAGCTTTTTAATTTCTGTTTAATTCGTATTAAGAGTGTTAAATTAAAATGGAAATATGCAGAAATTCACTTTTGACGGAATGGTTCAATTATTCTGATTCCCATTTTGTTAATACCAGGACTATCAACTAAGACCTACGAATTTCGATAGAAGAGACATACTGCGGAGCACTTACTCCATTCCATACGACTGGTTATTTCCATTTGGCAGGAACGGTAACGGTATTCGGGAAAATACTCATGACCTCCCACTAATAGAAGATGTGGAAGCTCTACCGCGGTTATTGAGAATTCGTATTTTGCGTGGCTTCAAGCAGCCGGGTAGAAACGCGATAACAGACATACAACAGGCATTAGGGAACTATTGGATGTCCGTTAGTTAATTTTTGATCAATGAAGTTTTGTTCATAATTAAATTTATTTTAGGTTTTTCCGTAAATATGTTATATTGTTGAGTTTTATTCTTATATTTCGTTTCCATCCCCAAATTTCAATTGATCTACAGTAAAGAGCAGAACTAAATCAACACCATTTAGAACAGAATAACTTCTTTAAAATTGGACCAAACGATCTAAGTATTTTTGATATGATCTTTAATGATCTTTACACATCATTTAGTAAACTAATTTACCTACTTACTCAAAAAGAGCTCAGGTCGTTTCGTTTGATTTTAATAAAGTAATTCAGTTCTAAAAGATGTTAGCTCATTTTTGTTCTTTACTGTATGCGATTTTAGTTGGTCCGAAGTACTTTTCAATCACACATGGATCGGGAAGAAAATTCTGAGAAAGAGGAAGCTACGAAGACAGTATACGATCGCATGGAGGATGAGTTACAACCATTGTCGTTGGGTATTAAAAAGGCGATCGACGTCGAAACGTACAAGATTGGTTTAGAAAAGGAATGGAAAACGGCGAAGCCAAAAACTCAGGGAATGGCGTTCGAAAGGTTTCTCGGTCACCAGACGATGGAGAAGGAAGTGCTCAATTGGTACAAACATTGCATGAGAGAGAAGTATATTCTGCCGTACTTTGAGAACATCAGTGGGACCTGTTTCCTTTGGATAATGGATTGCATGACGATCGCCTTGAAAGTAAGTGTATCCGACAAGTGGGACGGCAAGATCGGCGAGAGTCAAAAGTTCTAAGTCCATAGACCTCGGGGATGAAAAGACGTCGACGGAATTTAGATTAACTTCTTGCCCGACACCGTGCTTTTAGCAAAATTTTCCACGGGATTAAATTAACTCGGTATAAGAGAGCTCGCGAGCTGAGACTTCGAATAACTGTACTGGCCGTACTCGGTGAAAAAAATACTTGCAGTTAATAGCCATCTTTTGTGAGTATTGAAACAAGCTAATAACGATGCGCTTGAAGAGAATGATATTCGAATGCAGACAATGATAGCTTTTGTAAAGTATTTTGTGATCTCAGCCTTATTTGACATATTGTTTCGTACAGCGATTAAAGACTTTTTTTGAGAAATTTTCGAATGTTTTATTTTATTATTTCTTAAGATTGTATGAGCCTCTGCTAAGAATTTGAGAAACGTTAGCTTAGTAGAATTAATTTAAGAAAACGTTCAACCTCTTTGCTACTTTTTGGTACAGGACGTTGCGTTTGTACCTCATGTTCAGTGAATATCTCGTACAAACTTTAATATGCTCGACCGAAGAAACGTTTCATTTTCACCAAGCGGCTCTTATTCACAATCGAAATGCGGATAACGGGTAAAGCACACAAAGGAAACTCGATTTCAACTTCCGATACGGCGCGTATCAGGAATTTTCGATCAGTTCCTCTTGTTTACCCACGCCACGCCATGCGCCGTCTCGTTCCATTAAAGCTAACAACTCTAGCCGGCGCGGCGTGGGACTGGCGTGCATTAAAATGAATCACCGCGGCAATGATATGATATCCCCGAAAACTCATATCACGCGATTTTGGGTATCGAGTTATGCTAATTGCCACGCGTTACAACATCATCGGACGCGCGCGTTTATTGTCCCACGTACGCTCGATATCGACGTTCCCCTTTCGACGCCAATCGAGCGCAGGTTTAATATAAGCGATTCACCCGGAGCGCGGAGGGAGGATCTGGACGAGCTGAGTGGGAACGGCGTTGTCGTTTAAGGCACAGACGGGAAAGGCACATTTTCGTCTCGCATGCACGTTTTTAGCAGCTGGTGATTTCGGGAACGCGTGGCGTGAATACCGGAGGATGGCGGGTTAACGGAAAGGGTGGCCTGGCATCGTAAAGGGGTAACAGCCGTCACAGTACCATATGCCTGGGACATTACTCGCGGAAATAGGGAAGACTCGTAAAAGAGCTGCACACATTTCTATACTTTCCTTCCAGTTACCTCCTCGCACGCCCATCGCGATGGTCTTGTTTCCTGTTCGATCGAACGAAATGAAATAAGTGAAATCTGTGTCAGTAATGAACATGTTCCTATACCTTCGGATCTGCTGACTGTGCTCGACGCCTTTAATGAATTTTACTCGTTATCTCGATTTCGTTCTTCAATCGTGATGAAATATGGATCGTCGCGTCAAACTGTACCATTTTAGGTACAAAAAACGGTAACCGTTTCGCTTTTATTGCATTTGCAGATTGTTCGGAGATCCGGAAGGAATCTTTATATTGACACATAATTGAAGCAATGACAATTTCTTTAAACGTTACCTTTTAACAGGAGATCGTCATGTATAATTACATTTTTCACGGCACGACGCTTTCACGAGATCATCCTTTGAATTGCTTCCTACGTCTGGTAGGTGGAATCACACGGAATCGTTCGGGGATGCGAGTCGAGTCCGTATTTCCGGTTGTCTCCAGTTCTTCTGGAGGATTTCGCTCACGTACTTTTAACTTATATCATTTTCCTGTCCGAAACGTTATACGACTCAGCGTGCTTCACAAAAAAATTTCATACCGTCTCGCGTTATACGTTAACATTCTTTCATTGAAGTTGTTCTTCGAGGGGGCTTGTAATCAATCATGACCAGCAACATTTATCTCCTTTCTTATACTCTTTGTAAACGAGTGATCTTTGAATAATCACACTTATTAATATATTAGGAAGTTCATTAGGTAACAATTATAATAATGTCTGTGCCTAAATGTTCAACCTAATGAAATTGGGTCAGTATTAACTGAGTGAAAAAGTACACTAGAAAACATTAATTATATTAAAATGTGTCGTACTTGACATCTGTAGAAGTGAATTTGACATGTTCTACTTTATTCCACTTGAAAAGGTCACTTGGGCTTGAGAGGCAATTATACATGAAGTAGGTGGAAAAGTGAAGCGACAGGCCAGAAACAGGCGTTTGAATACGTAAAAAAAGAGGGAAGGAAGAGAGAAGGGGAGAGGAAGAGAGACACGGGACAGATTTTTAAGCATTGCGGCAGATATATCGAGTACGTTCCGGGTTTAACCAGGCCATGTATACGGACGTTTACGTATCACGTTATTGGACAAAAGTTGCACCATCGGTTTTAGACGCGACGCGATCTGATTTATCGGTCAGCGCGGATTTTTCGGTACAAGAGGGAGAAACTACGAGGCGGGCCATTTTTCTCAGGCTGCGTCTGGATAACGTGCAACCCTCCTTTCTCCCTATTACCTCCGCCCTCTCTTTCCGCCGCGCGAACTTCCTCTCTCTGTTCATCTTTATTTTTCTCGTGCCCTGTTGTTCTTCCTCGCTTAGCAGTGAAATATATGAACTCCATACGCTCGCAGAGCCCGCCAATAGCGAATCTATCCGCTCGATGCTTCCGTTACGTTACGAGCTAAGGACAGTTAACATATTATGGGAGATATTGCCGTTATGGATCTCGCCCAGGACCGACTGGATCATTTTAATCCACATAATTGATACCTCTAGGAATATCAGTAGCGCTCATCCACCAACTAACTCATTTATTGACTTCTGCAAGCTCATAAGTAGATTAATTTTATCTCACACATATAGAGAAAGGAACAAATTAATGATAACACGTATACAGATAAAACAAAACAAAACAGATAAAAAGACTGAAATCAAAGCAAATGGTATTCAGCTTCATTTACATAATGTTGTATTCAGTTGATGATGTAATAATACGAATTGGGATATTGAATGGAATTACTATTCGATTATCAACATCTAATAATCGAAATTGATTAATGTTATTGATAGAATTTAATATGTGTGATTCAAGTTCAATGAATTTAAGTTCAGAATATTAATAAAATCAATATTATTGATGAGCTGAGGCTGTAATAGTACAGTAACAATTTAAGATTTCATCAATATAGTATAAAATTTTTAGTGATTGGAAACATATAATCAATAAGATAAAAATTGGAATTATAGTTCATATAAGTTCAATTCTATGACTTTTTAATAAAAATCGATTAAAAAATTTATTTAATAATAAATCAATTATAATGTAGAAACTATTTATAAGAAATGATATGAAAGAAGTGAGGTTTATAAAATTGTTCGACATATTTTTCTAAGTCACACAGGAAATTAATATTATCATTCCTACTTTTTCTTACTTTTTATTGTGTATCCTAAGAGCTTTTACAATGCATGCAGCTAATAAATTTTGTGATCCTTTTTTCGCGGGCAGTTCACGGGCCGTGAAATTTAACTATTCAGGCATCTTTATTTTACTTAATACTTCATAGTAGGAACACGAAATAAAACGATACTATGAATAAATATTTGCTGGCGATAACCAATGGAACGCTTTAAAACGTTTGTGTATCGTTTAATATTTCTAGAATGCGCTGAAGCACACGGAATCTCGCGATTAAACAGTAACATTTATACCGCGAATTATAATAATAATTATGCAGGAAATTAAACTGCAGAACGAAAATTCTTTGAACGCCTCTCTAACAACTTGTGTCTCCAAAATAAGCTACCTTCAACGAAGTAAAATAAATGTCAGATATTTGATACAAATTGATGCAGATTCGTTGAAGAATTTATAACGAGGTACGCTATTCTAATTGCAACTTTCAAGTATCAAGGATAATTCAAATGAAATGAGTAATGGGAAAAGTAGGTCAAATACATATTTAGAACTCTAAGATTGTTTTATTTTCTTTTTTTAAATTCGATAAGTCACAGAGATGAAGATATGGTTGAAACGCACGGGGGTACTCTCGTTGGCGTACGTGAGGCGATTTCAGATTCACCTGTTTTCCATCGCGAGTCAAACATACACACGTTTGGAACGGCCGCCACGCCGCGCTGCGCCTCGGGCAAAGATACATATACCTTGGCCGCGATTTTCGCATCTTAAAGGTTCTCTCGCGAACCGTCGCGTCGTGTGTACCAACGGCGAATCAGCCGATCATGCTTCCGATTCACCTCTACGTTCGTACACGTGTCTGCACACGCCTCGCTTATGACGATCCATTTCCAGCGTTCTGACGTTACATTCTTCACCGGATATGTTGCGTCTTCTGTTCTCAGGAGAATAAGCTAGCTGTTAACTGATTGCCGAAGCATTGCGTTTGAAACTCGAATAACTTCTTTCTCGTTTTTGTATTATTAGATGCATTTATATTTTAAGTTCACATGCAGTATTTATATATATTGTAAAGTTCTTTAAAGAATATTTATTCAAATAATAGGACAGAAGGTAATTAGAATGCATTAATTTTGCAGATTTAATAGGTTTTCTTTAAAGCCGAAAATAAGAATTATTTTTCTGAATTTGTCCACACAGAATCATGTAGTATCGCCTTTTGTACGTTATTCAGCTGGACTCTGTACAAATCATGGTCTAATTTATATTGTTCCCTCTGTTCTTTGTTCTTAGCCTTCTTTCTTCTTTGATCCTGACGGCAGACACCGTAATCTTGTTTCTTTCTATGAGTTCCTCAGTCTTGCGTTATCTATGTTTTGTTCCGGTCGCAAATTGCAAACAAAAAGATGCACGTAATTTACGGGTACCGCGAATGTTTTACGTGAGCGTTCTAACAGAAAAATACGAGAATAAACTAGGGACGTAATCTTACAAGCTTGTGTCCTTTATCCAGATTTTCTTTTCCGTTTAGACGTTTGCGATGTACGATAATCCTTCGTTTAATATTTTTGCATTCCAATTTGTATCTTTCATATTTTAAGTGACATCGGATTT